TTGCTGCTCCATGAAATGCTAAGGTTTGGGGACCACTGACCTTATGGCAGAAAGTGAAGAAGAACTAAAGAGCCTCTTGACGAAAGTGAAAGAGGAGAGTGAAAAAGTTGACTTAGAACTCAACATTCAGAAAACTGAGATCATGGCATCTGGTCCCATGACCTCATGGCAAATAGATGGGGAAACAATGGAAACAGTGACAGACTTTATTTTTGGGGGGCTCCAAAATCACTGCAGATGGTGACTGCAGCCATGAAATTAAAAGACACTTGCTCCTTGGAAGAAAAGCCAACCTACACAGCATATTAAAAAGCAGAGATATTACTTTGCCCACAAAGTTCTGTCTAGTCAAAGCTATGGATTTTCCAGTAGTCATGTATGGATGTGAGAGTTGGACTGAAGGCTGTGTGCTGAAGAATTGATGTTTTTGAATTGTGTTGAAGAATACTCTCGAGAGTCCCTTGGACTTCTAGGAGACCTAACCAGTCCATCTTAATGAAAATCAGGCCTGAATATTCATTGGAAGGACTATTGCTAAAGCTGAAACTCCAATATTTTGGCCACCTGATGCGAAGAACTGACTCATTGGAAAAGACCCTGATGCTGGGAAAGATTGAAGGCAGGAGAAGGGGATGACAGAGGATGAAATGGCTGGATGGCATCACCAACTAAATGGACATGAGTTTGAGTAAACTCCGGAAGTTGGCGATAGACAGGGAGACCTGGCATGCTGCAGTTCATGGGGTCGCAAAGAGTCGGACATGACTGAGTGACTGAACTGACTGATCTAAGAATCTGGTATACAGGCATTCTCTAGCTCTTTCTCAACCTTGGTACTTTTGACACTTTGAATCAGATTAGTACTTTACTGTGGGGGCTGTCCTGTGCACCATAGGATATTTAGCGGAGCATTGCTAGCCTCTTTCCACTAAATGCCAATAGCAAACCACTCCACCCAGATGCAACAACTTAAAATGTCTCAGGGTGGGTTGTAATGGTATAGGTGGGGACTATGATCAAAAAGTTTGAAAGTTACTGTTCTACAGACATTGTAAATTTTATTTCATTATATTCATTATTTTCTCGTAAAGAATTTTTATTGCAATAAATGAGAAGTCATGACAACCGTAAATAAATTCAGATAGCAGGCAAAATAAGCAATATGAAGTATATGTATATGTATAGACATATATATGTCTATGTATATAATACTTTGATTATGCATATATATGTATTACAAAGATGCTATAAAGCTTAATTGATATTGACAAAGTATTTAAAAATCCCCAATGAAGCATATTATAGATGGATATAATATTATTACCCATAATAACATTTGCATTTGTATGTCACTTTTCCCTTGAGACTCTCATTCAATTGATTTGTGTCCTTAGTGTATGATTCCCAGTTCATCTTGGGGAAACTGAGGCACAAGTCAATGTTCAACTGACGTGATAAAATCAGGGAATAATTAGGCCTCCCATATCCTTTATAATACCCTAATCATTTTTACTGCTATATGTGGCAAATAATCCCCTAAGTATACATTTAGTATTATAATAAGTATATTTTTATTGTTAATTTTACATTTTGCATATTTTATATTTTACATTTTTGAACACATATATTTATTTTTGCTGGGTTGGCAGCATCTAAGAAAAAGGGGCAGGTCTTCAGCTATGTGTTTCTCAGAACCTGCTGGCTCTGGGCACATCATTTGTGGGCAGCCAGCAGACTTTATGGAATGCCAATTGCAGTATCTTAGTCCTCCAAAGTTTCGTTATAGATTGATGTTTTAATGCTGGGCTTTTGATTGTTGTCTGAGATTGTGGTAAGAAAAGGAACATGTCTGTATTTTTGGTAATAATCTAGTTATAATACAACTTAAAATACATGGCGGGATAATCAAGGCTGCATTCTGACTTTCATGGACACTATCTTTGCCTTCATGGGTCCCATCCTCCATTAAAAAAAAGTTTTAAATGATAGTTTATGATTGCTTTAGTATAAAGATGTATATCGTTCAAGCTTGATTACATTCTTTTTTACTGATTTAAAAGTGATTAAAACACTTTTCTCAGCCCCTAAAACTTTCACAGGCCCTGGACACTGAGCCTGTGTGTGTGTGTGCTCAGTCACTCATTCAGGTCCAACTCTCTGCGGCCCCATGGACTGCATCCCACCAGGCTTCTCTTTCCATGGGGTTTTCCAGGCAAGAATACTGGAGTGGGTGCCCATTCCCTACTCCAGAGGATCTTCCCATCCCAGGGATCCTATAGTGCCTAAGAAAGAGATGGGCCCTGGAGATAATACATTGAAATATTACTTGGTGTTTTAGCCTTTCATTCCTGTGTTCCTAGGGAGGTATCCTGGTTTTATTGCCTCAGGGAAGAATGACCCAACAGGCACCAAAAGAGCCAAATTCTTGGCTTTGAGGTTCAAAACCTTAGGTCTTGGGATGGCACTGCAGATTTGGAAGAATAGATGAAGAGCTGGGGTATTCTGTCCCTTAGTAGATGAAGAGTTCATGCACTGAAGATGAAAGAGGCCAGAGAAGTTGAGAATATGTGGATTTGTCTGGGATCCCAAACTTGGATTAAAACTTTGGAAATCCTAGAGTAGATGGCACCTATCACTGCCTAATCATTTATTGCCAGGGTAATGTTTCCAGAGCTGTTGGTGTGTGGGGCTCTGATGTGTCTCCCAAGCCCAGTGTGGTGGGGCCAGGCAAACAATTCATGGCATCTGGGTTTCTAGGAACCCTGGTTGGAGCAGAACACAAAAAAGGTTTTTGGTGGTTTGGATAGTGGCACGCTTACGGCAAAGTGCCAGTCGGTGTAGGCTGTGTGGCAGGACCAGGTGGGCAGAGCAGAGCTCTGCATGGATCTGTAATGGAAGAACATTGGAGAATGAGGATGTTTCCACGGGTTCCAGCAAGGAGATATGATGCCAATAAAGATGGGTTCTTGGCATTGTGGTACCACACAAACTCTTTAGAGTTGGAAGAGAACCAGAATTGACCGAGATTAGGTTTTTTTCACCTGAAATTATGAGCTCTTGGAAAAGAAATTAAGTACAATAATGCAAAAATTAAGTTACAAATTTTTTACCTCAGAATTTTTTGAAGCCAGATTAGTATTCACTATACGTAGATTTATATGGGTTCTTTATATTATTTGCAGGACCTTCCACCTTTAATTTTTTTTCCTTTTAACTATTGTAAAAATCTTAAAATGTACTGGTATAATTTCTGTCCTCATTTTACACATATGAAAATAAGGGCACAGAAAAGTTAAGTGACTTCTCCAAGGTCACACAGCTAGCACTTTGCTGAGCAGTGACTCAAGCCCATGACCCCATTCACTCTACCATTCCTGTTTTGTGTGTGTGTGTGTGTGTTTTTTAATTATTAATTAATTTATTTTTGTCTGTGCTGGATCTTCTCTGCTGTGCATGGACTTTTGCTAGTTGCAGTGAGCCAAGACTACTCTTCAGCTGTGGCGCACAAGCTTCTCATCACGGGCTTCTCTTGTGGAGCATGAGCTCTGGAGTGCCTGGGCTTCAACAGCTGTGGTGCACAGGCTCAGCTGTCCTGCAGCATGTGGGATCCTAGCTCCTAGACCTGGGATCAAACCCATGTCCTCTGTATCGGCAGGCAGATTCTTAACCACTGGACCACCAGGGAAGTCCCCGACTCCTGATTCTTAATGTCCAATATTCCCCTAAAGAACTTCAGTGAGAGGTTTCTCTCAGGCTCTCAAAAAATGGTATTGGTACCAAAATGCTCTTAGTGTTTTGCAGTTAATGCTCAGATGTGAGGAGGGCTGAGGGCTCATGCTGGAGCTCTGCTAACCTGCCCCGGGCTCCCCCTCTGCTGTGTCCTAGGCAGAGCTCTGCTTCCATGAGTAGTGGTGGGGCGGTAAGGGTATAAGCTGAACGCAGTGCAGGGCCCCAGCGCCAATGCAGCGGGGTGAGGTAGGGTGGTCAGGTCCTAGGCTGGGTGCCCCACCCAGGTTAGTCAATGCTGTTCTGCGTCTACAGTCCTGTGCCCACACTTAACGACACTGTAGATTTTTCTTCTTTAACTGCCCGCCCCTTTCCAGACTATGAGCAACCGAAAGCAGGAATTACACCACACTTTCTCCCCATTTGTATCTCTTGCACCTAACAGAATGCTTGGCATGTAATAGGTATTTAAAATATTTCCTGAATGAATGAGCAGATAGGTGGATGGATGGATAAGTTCCAGGGTACCTCCATGTCCCTCACATAGTCCTAGTTCCATATCTCTTGATAAAAAAGCAAACCTCTTTTGATGGGTGTTTGGGTTCAGTTTCCTTTATCTCACCTGAGAAACTTTGTGAAAATTGCTCCTTCTGTTGTGGGCCACTTCACCTCCTCTTTCCTTCCTTATCCCCAGACGTTTCCTTTATTATTATTTTCAAACTCTGTTTTAGTCAAAATGTTCAGAATACGTTTCCTCTTTCATCTACATGTTTTAAGAACTGTTATGTTTAACTGTTAATTTCCTTTACACCCTCTTTAGAAGCAGGGACCACATGTTATAAATCCGTATGAGTAAATATTTTACTGTCTCTTGTTTTGAAAAGAATTGTAATTAAAACTCATGGTAGAACAATTTCTAAAGTAGTAAGTTGCCTTTCTAAGATATTACCATGTCTTGTTTTAATTCTTACTTTGAGTAATTAATTTACATTATTAAATAAGATTCACTTCACTGGAGTCACTGAATAATCACTGTGTTGGAAAAGTATTGTTTTTTATCATTAGTTTTATCATGTATGCTAAATTGTTTTTAGGGAGTAGCCTCAGTATTACCTGAAAAGAGATGGGCAATATATGTCCCAAGTCCAGTAAATTTATCATTAGAACAATATCAGAAATATAGTAAACTTTCATTGCATTATTTTTAAAATATTTAAATGAAATATATGATAAATAAGCTTTGTCATTTAACAGATTCTAATTTTCTTCTTAAGGCACCGTGACAGAGAAAGTTATCCCAAAGATTATGATATAGAGGGTCCTGAAGAAGTGAAAAAACTATGTAATTCAACATATCATCGACTTGGAACCAGTGAACCCCTAGTAAGTAGTAACCACTAATTTCTCTAAGTCCAAATCTTCCTTCTAGTGAAACATGAAAAAGTAGAGGGAGGAGCACTTTCTCAGGGCTCCTCTTAGATGTGTTAGTTACTTAGGCAGGTGGCTTAGCCACTGTTTGCCTCAGTGACCTTACCTGTAAGGTGGGAGCACTTCATAAGGTTACTGGGTAAATAAAGCAAATAAAGTGCTTAACTCAGTGCCTGGCACATAGCGAATGCTCAAGAAATTTTTACTGCTGTTATGATACCTTGCTAGATGTCTCCTCTAACCTTCATCATCACCCTGTGAAGTAGGTATTATTATTGCTATTTTACAAGTGCAGAGAAACTCCTAGATATTGAATGACTTACTCAAAGTCACCAAGCCAGGGAGTGAAAGAGTGAGAGTTTGAACCCATTTCTTTGATTTCATATCTTTTGTACTTAAGGTGACAGAGTTGTAAGTAATTTAAACATGCTATTATTTCCTATAACATTTGTACGACCAAGTTACTAAAGGAGGATTTGTTGCATAAGTACTTCCTGTTTGAATTGTTGTGGATGGATTACTCCATGGCTATTTAGGTGTCTTTTTTTCCCTTTCTTTCTTTGAAAGAGAATTTTATTTATTTATTTATTTATTGGCTGTGCTGGGTCTTTTTTTTCCTACTTTATTTTTAATTTTTTTTTATTGAAGGATACTTGCTTTACAGATTTTTTTCTGTTTTCTGTCAAACCTCAACATGAATCAGCCATAGGTATACATATATTCCCTCCCTTTTGAACCTCCGTCCCATCTCCTTCCCCATCCCACCCATCTAGGTTGATACAGAGCCCTGTTTGAGTTTCCTGAGCCATATAGCAAGTTTCCCATTGGCTATCTATTTTACATGTGGTAATGTTAGTTTCCATGTTACTCTTTCCATACATCTCACCCTCTCCTCCCCTCTTCCCATGTCCATATGTCTATTCTCTATGTCTGCTTCTCCAGTGTTTCCCTGTAAATAAATTCTTCAGAATCATTTTTATAGATTCCGTATATGTGCGTTAGAATACAATATTTATCTTTCTCTTTCTGACTCACTTCACTCTGTATAATAGGTTCTAGGTTCGTCGACCTCATCAGAACTGACTCAAATGCATTCCTTTTATGGCTTTTTATGGAATACACAATATTCCATTGTGTATATGTACCACAACTTCTTTATCCATTCATCTGTCAATGGGCATCTAGGTTGCTTCCATGTTCTAGCTATTGTAAATAGTGCTGCAATGAACAATGGGATACATGTGTCTTTTTCCACCCTGGTTTCCTTGGGTATATGCCTAGGAGTGGGATTGCTGGGTCATATGGTGGTTTTATTCATAGTTTTTTAAGGAATTTCCATACTGTCTTCCATAGTGGTTGTATCAATTTACATTCCCACCAAGAGTGCAAGAGCATTCCCTTTTCTCCACACCCTCTCCAGCATTTATTGTTTGTAGACTTTTTGATGATGGCCATTCTGACTGATGTGAGGTAATATCTCATTGTGGTTTTGATTTGCATTTCTCTAAAATGAGTGATGTTGGGCATCTTTTCATGTGTTTGTTAGCCATCTGTATGTATTCTTTGGAGAAATGTCTGTTTAGGTCTTTTTCCCACTTTTTGACTGGGTTGTTTGTTTTTCTGGTATTGAGTTGTATGAGCTGCTTGTGTATTTTGGAAATTAATCCTTTGTCAGTTGTTTGTCATTTGCTATTCTATTTTGTCATTTGCTATTATTTTGTCCCATTCTGAGGGTTGTCTTTTCACCTTGATTTTAGTTTCCTTTGCTGTGAAAAACTTTTAAGTTTAATCAGGTCCCACTTGTTTACTTTTGTTTTTATTTACATTACTCTAGGAGGTGGGTCATAGAGGATCTTTCTTTGATTTATGTCATCGAGCATTCTGCCTATGTTTTCCTCTTAGAGTTTTATAGTTTCTGGTCTTACATTTAGGTCTTTAATCTATTTTGAGTTTATCTTTGTGTATGGTATTAGGAAGTGTTCTAATTTCATTCTTTTACATGTAGCTTTCCAGTTTTCCCAGCACCATTTATTGAAGAGGCTGTCTTTGCCCCATTATATATTTGTGCCTCCTTTGTCAAAAATAAGGTACCCATAGGTGCATGGGCTTATTTCTGGGCTGTCTATTTTATTCCATTGGTCTGTTCTTGTGCCAGTACCATACTGTCTTGATGATTGTAATTTTGTGGTATAATCTGAAGTCAGGAAGGTTGATTCCTCCAGTCCATTCTTCTTTCTCAAACTATTTAGGTGTTTGCTCAATCAGTGTGAGGCAGGAACTCAACTCCCCAGAGTCTCCCAAATTCTGTCCTACAGTGTCAAGAGATTTGGGACTAGTTGACGGCTCAGTTCAACTTCTTAGTTTGGCCTTGGGGCCTGAAGAGTTGGTAATTTCACAGACAGATGTGAATGTGTTGAGAAGTCTGGGTTTGGATCACATCCTGCCCCTCAAAGGCTGGGCTACTTTAAAAAAGTGTAAGCCTAGGAAGATCCATAATTCTACCATTGAGAATGGCTCTAGAAAATTCTCTGTTCTGCAAGATGATGGGAATAAATTAGCTTAGCAGAACCCATGCTGTTCCCCATTCCTTTTATAGTTATCATAGACAGAGACTAATAAACATAGCCTGAAAATGGGAATTTATTATAAAGATGCAGCTGCCTGGATATGGAACAGGAACACTTACCGGAACCAAGACAGCTCTAAAGCAAGTCTCCTCTCTCCCTCGCTCTCTTTTTTTTCTCCCCCTCTTTCCCTCCCTCTTTTTCCTCTCTATCTGATACACACACACATTCTCAGCATCTCTATTTCTCTCTGCTTTGTCCTCCTTTAGTCCCACAGCTTAAATCTCAGGGGTATTCTGCCAGTTTCCCTGGTTTCCACCCTGCCTTCTTGCCTTTGCACCAGGCTGCCTAATTGGTCATTAGCCAGCACATGAATGGGGCTCTTGAGTATAATGCCTAACTCAGAAAATAACCACCCATTGCCACTTCTCCAAATCCAGCTTGCCCTTGCTTTCTTGAGCATGGTGAGAAATGAGCTCAAGGTGTACAATGCAGGCATTGTCTGGCATGCACTTAGCATCTCTGACCATTAAACACATTTATTTTTAATTCCTAAATGAAAGTGCTCTTGGTCTCTAGATTGTGGGAGGAAGTGAGATGAAGTGAAATATAAGGAGTAGGAACCTCAAACATTCATTCCTTATATTCCATGCATTGTAGCAGTTAAATCTCGGGTTTAATAGAGAATTGAAACCTTGTCCTACCAGGTTTACAGTGTGTGTTAGATAGGAATGTTACTGAATGAACTTGGGTCCACTTCCCAACCTGCAGCAAAGCCAAAATTCAGTTTGAAAATAGAGACAGGATTTTGAAAAAGGTGTGCTATAAGTCTAATCTGCAAAACTAAGTTACAGATATGAGGCTCTGGTAATCTATCTAAAGCAGCAGAGCAGCAAGAAGGGAATTAACTACATACTCATCAGTGGTGGGACAAAGATAAGTGAGTAATTAGGCCCAGATGCAGCTTTGGGAGATGAGATATGGGCCATGTAGAAGAGAAAGATGACAGAGAGCCATTTTAGTGCCTGCCCAAGAGCATCTCATGTAGGAATGGGAGAGGGATTGACTGTATTCCCATGAGCTGAGCCAGGACATCTAAGTGCAGAGATTGGCATCCTGTATCATATAACACACCGCTGGATGTCCCCAGAAGGGATCTCAGCTTCTGTTAGAACCCTGCAAGAAAATTTTGAACCATCCTTCAGAGGGTCAGACACAGGCAAACGCAAAGAAAGCCAAACCAAGAGTAGATGTCCACTTTTCCCACATTTGCTTCTCTCCTTCCTCATGTCTTCTCACCCTCATCTTAAACCCTCAAGGAGCCAGAAGGAGTTGGGGTTTAGGGAAGAATTCCAAGGGGCACAATTGGGAAGAAGTCAGCTGAAGCAGACCAGACTGAAACATGCTTCTTGATAACCTCTCATTTTAAATGAAATTTTGGCTGGTACATGGGACTGGGCATTTTACTTATTCAGTAAAACTGTTCTTGGGACAGAAGTAGCCAAAGGTTTTTATATTATCTCAGTGACCAGAAAAGTCCTGAAGCATGTCCTATATTTCAGCAAAGACCATAAAAATGAATTATCCCTTTCAAGTAACTATGGATGGACAGCAATGAAAGAATAGATTTGTTTTCTGATTGTACCTACTTATAAGACCTACTTGTTCAATGAGCCAGTTGCCCATTTGTATATAAAATAGAAGTCTATTCACATCATCCCTCTCCATCCCCTTCCCTTACTTTGATTTGCTTCATGGCACTTCAATGACTGGACATATTTAAGACTTGTTAGCTGTTATTTGTCTCTTCCTACTAGAATACAAGCTTTATGGGAGAACAGATGTTGGTCTTTTTTGTTCTCTGCTATATCCTCTAATGATGTCTGGCACATTGTGTGTGTGTGTGTGTGTGTGTATTAGTCACTCAGTCATGTCTGAATCTTTGCGACCCATAGACTGTAGCCTGCCAGGCCATGGGATTCTCCAGGCAAGAATAGTGGAGTGGGTTGCCATTCCCTTCTCCAGGGCTGGCACATAGTGGGTACACAATAAATATTTATAGAAGGAAGAAAGAAAGGAAGACTATATTCCACAAACATGTATTAAGTTCCTATTATTTTGTTAAGTGCTGGGATAAGAAATGTTATGCCAAGTTATCATGATGAATGCTAGGGTTAGAAACATAATTCAAAGCAAGGTCACTGTACATCAGGAACTCACAGGCTTTTTGGGGGTAGTGGGTGCATGCAACCACAGTGGTGGTATGTATGATGGATAATATGACAGGAACAAGGTCAGGATGCTGTGCAGAGCACTTGAACTGAAATAAGTTGAGGAGAGGGTCAAGGATGGCTTCCTAGGGAATTCTCTAGTGGTCCAGTGGTTAGGACT